CTGTGCTCAAGGAAAGGATCCAAGGCTAATCGCAAGAACTCCCAAATTTTTGCCTGTAGTGAGGTATTGTGCTGTGAGGGAGACTGGCTGAACTCTTGCAGTAGAAGATGTGTTAAATTATAGATAGGGTTAATTATGTCATCACTGGAACCTTCCCTGGCACTTGTATAATGAAGGATTTTCATTCCTGTTCTCAGAAGTTCAGACAAGCTCTCCAGGGTTTTATTGTTAAAATTAAAGAAAAGATCTATAGATTTTAATGTACTGACATTATAATTCAGCTGTAAGTCTTTTAAGATGTACAGTGTCTTTTGGATGGCTTGAGTGACTTGTGAGATATTGGCTACTCCAGAGCTTTCCCCAAACTCTTTAAACACAGCTGTTATGAATTGTGACAGCTGATCCAACTCTTCACTGAAGACACCACTTGATTTATTATTCAGCTTTTGCAAATGGCTGTTTAACACCTCCAAAAACTGCCCATAGGCGATGATGGCTGTGTTATTCCACCTCATGGATCTCAGCTTCTCCCCGATGTGCCAGTAGATGTTCAACTCATCCCACCAGGCCTCACCCATGGACTTTTCTACGGCCCTCATCAGCTCAAACACAGGCAGCAGGAGGTACTGATAACCTACATTTGTGCCTATCATTCTAAAACTCATCTTCTCAAGAGCTAGGAGCTTCTCTGGGAAGTTTCTGTAAGACTCAGGCTCAAGCAGATCATCAGAAAACACAGATGGGATTTCTTGCAATCCACTCAAACGGTCTCTGAGACTTTCCAGAAGTGATGGCATGTTTGTGGAGAACAACATTTTGAGAGCATCCTTAGTTTTCAACGTACTAAAATTGGAATTACTTAGGAGAGCTGGATTCCAAAGCATTGTAGCTAATTTTAAAGCCCTCTGAATTTCTTTCCACTGGGTCATTGTCTTGAAAATGGAAGTCCCATTAAAGTCACTCTGTAATTGCAGTGATGTGATGTTATAGATTTCATCAATTATTTCCTTATTATATGGTTCCTTTAATTTATAATCATGATGTGGATTCATTCCCAGTTCAAGAAATGCATACAATTTCTGTAATGTTTCATTCTTCAAATTTCTGAATAGATTTAAGCTTTTTAATTCACTTCTATTCATTTTTTCCTCAAAGCCTTTTAAACGATGTAGATGGTTTTGTATGGCTTCTAAATCATCTGAATTAATGGACCTCTTGGAGTGCTTTCCACCAATCTCTGGTGACTTTATTTTTCTGGAGGGGAACAAAAAAGTGTTTTAGTGAATATGAAATCAATGCAAGTGGAAATGTAAGGTGATTTAGAGCAAAGATCATATATTTGAATTACACTGTTAGTAATACCCCTTTAGCTAATGTCTCACCTTAGAACTTCCTCCAATTCAGATACTAAAGTGTGATTGTCTTTCCAGTGAGCAAAGGAATTACAAATAGATCTGGTCACCCAACTTCTTTCTTTATCTACAATAAAAATGTGAAGAGCATATTAGTAAAGATCACGTAATTCTGGAACCTGAGAAATGCTATAATGGCAAATCTATTCAGATTCACATATGAATTTAGACTCCTACCACAAGCCACAATATCCTGGTTACAAATCTGAGTGTTCTTTTGGGGTGTAGCTCTTCCTGGTCTTTCAAGGGAAGTGAGGATGGCATCCTAGAAGTGACTTTCTGTGCTGAAATAATTCAGGAACAATTCAATGTTCCTGGGATCTGGATGCTAACAGAGGTCTCCTGCTTTAGGATCACTTTGCTGTCAGTAGTGCAGAGTAAGGTGGCCAAGTATTTATTACGGTACCTTTTCCTTCATTAAGGGTTGCTTTTTTACTGCACACACATAAGCTTTGTCTGCAGCATCATTTATGTCTCTCACAGTCATTTGCACTCATTTTGATATCCCCATGTGTCCAATCCTCTCAACAGCCATTTTCCATGTCTTCTCTTCTTGCACACCTCATCTTTCTTTTTATCCACCTCAACTTCCACAATCTCCACAAAACAAGTAGAGAAGGGACTGCAATCCCCATCTGCCCCTTGTAACATTTAGTTCCTTCCCCTTGCCTGTTCCCAGATCCCCAGTTAGAGGGGGATACCTCTGCTGGAAGGGATAGAGATTTGAAGGAATGGCTCATCTGGATGTAAACAGCTCACTGTGCAGCCCAGCCCCAGCCCCTGCCTTGCTGCACCAAGCTGAGTTACACAGAGTCCACGACCAGAGGCAGATTTTGACATCACCCCCCAAAAAAAGCAAATCAAGGTAAAACATTACTGCTCCCCATTTCCACTGAGGCTGCAAACTCATGTTAATTCATTGTCTACTGACAAACTCAAGCCTTTTTACTTTTCCATTTAAAATTAGGCATTTTATTTGCATCTGTAAAAAGCTGAAGGAAGAACCCATTATGCTGAACCCTGAACAGTGTGCAATCTGTATGGTTATTTATTAGCCTGCAGTTTACTTCTCCTCAACACCACAGGTTTTCAGCAGAGATATGACTCAATGGAAGAGTCTTACCTTGCTCCAAGCAGTTCAGGGAATGTGGAGAATCTGTAACCTCATTCTGAACAGTTTTGAATCTATCATCACCCACAAGAGATGCAGAGACATTCTGAGCTGCCAGCACAACACTGAAGGAGAGGAGAAAAAAGAAAATACATTGTGGTTACAGGTTTATGTGCTTTAATAGGAAATAGCTGGAATACAGCCTATCATTCTTAAAATGTTGGACAGACAGGACTTCATCCCTATTTTTAATGATTTGTTTGATCATGCACAAGATACAAACACCAGGTGCTTTGATGGGAAAGTCGTGGTGGTGTATTAGCACAAACACACAGGTGGCACTCATTAGGTGTACTTTTTCAGAGAGTTATGTAAGATCTACAGGGCACTAAAATCCAGCCAGCAGGTCTCAGAAAACACCCAGGTGACACACCAGCCATGTGATTCACTGCTGCAGGGGAATTTCCTCCTAAAAAACTCCAAGAACCAAGGAGACAAGGCTCCGGGAGAGCAGGGATCCCAGGGGGGAAAACATGTGTGGAAGGAAGAAGCAATCACAAATAACTGTTGCCATTTCCAATTCTTCTTTCCTTTTTCATGCTGTAATAGCTAGGCTGACAGGGAAGCAAGGAATGTCTTTCAGTCTTAGGAAGGAACAATCTGATAATCAGGCATATTGTATCACAGAGGAACTAATTTAAAGGACTACCTGCTCAGGTGTGCAGGTTACTGAAAACTTCACTGTGATTATTAGTCCCTTTTTCTTCTCCTGTACAAAGAGCAGCCTTCACTGTAGCTGTGGGGTCACTGAAATGCACCATCTCTCTCTTACCTGCCTCAATTTCTGCAGGTGATACACAAAGAACCTGGCTGGGTTGATCTCAGTGGCATGAATAAATACATACTAATCTGTGGGAACAGGCTGCTACTGAGAACAGAGCACTGGGAATCTCTTCTCTCCTAATTTAACATAATGTCTCCATGCAGGTTTTGTGGGCTTGGTGCTCATCATTTTCATTCTGCAGATGTGCTTGTAAGAGTCTTAGAGGGGAAGAAACCCAGTTATAAATGACAAATTTAGCTGAGCAATGGCAGAGCCAAGGAGGAGGCAGAAACAGGCTTGCCAAAAATGGATGCATATCACGCATATCAGAAGGCAGCAAACATGGAAACAAGAGATGCTGCTGCCCTTTTATTTCGGTCTTGCAGGGTTTCTGCAGACTTTGGCTGTGGAGAAAAAGCTCAGCTTACGTGCTCAGCTGAAAAATTATCTTGGAGCAACGAACAGGAACATTTGTGAAATCAGTCTGCAAACCAGGTTTTTGTGAGTAATAAAATTTGCCACAAAACTTTCTGTAGGATTCATGACTTGGAAGTTACTGTTTCACACTGGTGGTGTTTATGACTTGGTTCATACAGATGCAACAATGAGCAAAAGTTCTTCTCTTCTATACCTTCGTATTTCTACCACAAAAAAAACCCAACAAAAAACAACAAAAACCAACCAAATCCCCGAACAGCATTTCTTTAGCAGTTCAGTCCTGCCTGAGTAAGAGACGTGGCCAGGCTCGCTAAGATGTGCTATTGTAAGCATCATTAAAAGTACTATTTGTGCAATCTCTTTGCAATAACTCTTTACTCATGCATTTACAGTGCCAGATGCCAGGCATAAAAGCACTGCACAGTTCTGGTGATGAAATTCTATGTGCCTCTTTGTCGTGCCTATGATAACTTCCCCCAGCTCTGCAGCTGGAGAGCAAAGCAGAGCAGCACAGTAAATATTAATTCTCCCTGGGCACTACAACAGGGCTGGTTCTCAGGCTGGGTTCTGCAAGCCAGTAAAAGCAAACAAATGTAATAATCCTGTGACTGAAACAGCAGCATGAACAAAACGCTTCTGAATAAAATTACAATTCTTGCCACACTGCTGCTGACTCCTTTAAGGATAGGGACATTATCCTTACACATGGGTCTCACAATGCAGCATGGAAAATTACCTTGATATTAAATGTACAGGTTTCTAAGTGCCTCAGCAACACACCAGTGATCAAAAGTGAGTCCCTCTAAGCCTGGGTGCAATCTAAGTGGCAAAGCGTCTACAACTTCTTTTGGCTTCTTAACACAACTGCTCATATATGCAAGCTAAAAACAAAAAGCAGTCTGAAGACACTCAGTTTCTTGGTGTCCTCCATGTACTGCAACAACTGGACTATCCAGAATATTTTATAGCAGAGTTAGTCACACATCCAGAAGATGATTTGGAACAGAGTCCCCTAATCTTGACTAACTCAGATCTTCTGGAGATCAGGTAGAGTTTAACCAAAACTACAGCCCAGGAAACGGATTTCAAGGCTAAGCCCATTTTAGAAATTTGTATTGCCTTAGGTGCAAACTGCATCAAATATTTCAGTACAGTTAAATAATGCAGTTAAGCCAGCTCTGTTTTTCATATAACCACTGAGCAGATACATAACTGGCACTTTCTTCTGCAAGTCAGACGTGTTAAGCCCATATGGAAGAAAACCAGGCTCCCTCTCTTCTCTGCTTTCTTGGGATCAGTCTTGAAAGATTAACCCAGCAGTATATTGGGTAATCAGTTTTAAAAAACAACATTATGGCTCCCCTACAAGTGCTTGAGGTGTTCCAAAGCAACCTGAACTTGGCTCTGTGCTTTTCTGGAAAGAAGCAGCCAGCTGCTTTCTTCATCCAGCCAGGAGGGTTTTTCTTCCACCAGAGGCAGTGCCTGTGACTCACCAGCTTTTCTATCTGTACAAGGGCCTGACAGTACCTCTAAACAGGCCGGGAGAAAACTCAGGAGTTTATATCAAGTTGCCATTGAAAGACTGAAACAAGAGTCACTGAAAAACAACACACTGCTCACAGTCCACAGACACCCTTAGAGTTGCATTAGCATGGAGCTGCATCATTCCCCAAACAAATAATGCCTTTAAGGTAACACCCTTCTTTCAAGAGGATAGGTGATGTCCTTAGAGGTCAGTAAACAAACCCACCAGCTTTCAGGGCTTCTCCTGCCAGTTTCTCTGTTTTACCTGCTTGGATTCTGAAGGAAATCAATTATGTCTTGCAGTTGCATGTTGTCCTGAAACACATCTGGGGCCAGCAAAAGCAGGTGCCACAGGGAGGTGTCATTCTGCACTTGGGAGACGAGTGTCAGAAATGAGACCATTTCATTGACGAAGGTCTCCTGGTACTCTGTGTTGTGCTGCACCTTAACAAATAAAAATGTAAGAAATTATTTAAGAACCAGAAGGAATTATTTAATAACCAGAAGCCTTGCTGCTGGGGGGTTCTTTTACGTTTTTCAGCTGGCACTGCACTTGTATGCAAGTCTGCAAACAATACATTCAAAGGACAGGCAATAACTGAGAGTGTGACTGTGTTTTACGTTCACACCCCAGGTTGTACAATAAATTCTCTGTTCAGACAAGCCCTACGATTTACAATGAGCTAAAGAGTCCAAAAAAAAAAAAAAAAAAAAAAAAAAAAAAAAAAATAAACTTGGAAAAAAAAAAAAAAAAAAAAAAGAAAAAAAAAAAGGCTTTATCTTTAAAGGATTAATTTCCTTTAATTATATTGCTTTCCCAAAGACAAGTACTGCTTTAATCATGAATTGTTGGATGAGATGCAGGAGTCACTGGATGAAGTTATACTGCTGAGGTAATACACAAATAAATTTATTGCTTTCCCAAGGTTTAAAAATTCTTATTTACACAACATCCTCATGCTCTTCTACTGACCTGCCACTGCAGCAGGGCAAACAAAGATAAAAAGCAAGGCCTAGGCGTGGTGAGAACCCTTAGCAGCCATGAGCTGATGGCTGGATGACCCTTGGCTTTCCAATCCATGTACTCAGCTTGGAAGGTCTTTGGGCTAACCCCATGCACAAGATTTAACTCAGCCTCACTGTGCCCTACTTGCACTTGGGTACAGAGATGAGCAACTCCTGCCCACGAGGGGCCGTGTTGTAGCTCCCAACCCTGCCTGACGGGTGTGAACTGCCACAGCTCCCAGCTGCAGCCCCCAGGGAAGGTCCCAGGCACTCACCTGGGAGAGCTGGGTCCTGAACTCCTGGGCAAAGGACTCCAGAAGTGAGGAGTTGGTGAAGCAGAAGGTGTGGTGGATATTGGCTGCCATGCTCCCTCCCGTGGCACCGGGATGCGCCAGGTACCGCGACAAGACCTGGCACAGCAGGGCCCTGAGGTTCCCTGCAGTGGAGTACTGGGGCTGCCTCTGAAAGAACAACAACACATTCAGGGGGCTGTAAAGCAACACTGTATATGGAATGGTACTAAATGCAGTGATGAGACTTTTTTTAAGGGATAGCAGTGACATCTGAAAAGCATTGTGGTCATAGCATAGACAGAATTCTAACAGCTGAACAACATCACTAAAACCCTTCAAAGACCTCATCTATTACAAAGAGAAATGTGTGCAAAAGTGTTTGTAGGCCTTGACACCAAACCACAAAAGCAGTGACCACTACATTGTAACAAATTTCTATTACAAAGGAATAGATTCTATAAATATTGAATACCTATACAATAAATACACAGTGCCTCTGATGCCACTGCAGGACTATCCATGGGCAAATAAATACTTGAATGTCAAAGCCTGTATCATATCTTTGATTTCATAAGAAAAAAAATATATTGCAAACATCTTAACTCACACAAGTTCTGAACTAAGTATCTCAGGGTATTTCTTGTGTGTGACTGTATTTTATATTTCATGGTATTATGTCTCAGGGTTTGCCTGGTTTCTGCCTAGAGGATAAAAAGCCACAAAGCTTAAAAATCCACCCACAATCACTGTGTTTCCAAAATCAAGCTCATTCACATAAGCAACAAAAGCTGTGTGTTGGTAGTTTGAGTTTCTAGTTCTTTAAATATGAGGATACATAAATGTTCATGCTCAGCTATTATGCAAATACAGACTTACCTTCTCAAAACTGAAGACCTTGTTGAACGTGTGGGTGCTGGAAGTCAAGTTGGATGGTGATGAAACATTCTGAAGGTTTTTTTCTCCATGAGATACCAAATCTCCAAATGCTGCAATAACAGTTTGAAATACTGTATTTTACTTATGGCTTTTAAAAACTCTTTGCTACATAAAACCAGGACACAGGACAGCTACCTACAGCATTATCAATCTGTTTCCAAAGGTACAGCCAATGGCTACCTGTAAGTACTTTAGGGTTTTTTCTGATACAATTAAATTCTGGATGACACTGTAATTTTTTATATGGGGCAATGACCTATAATTTAATTTTTTTAAAAAAATAAAATGTAGAACTGATTTCCCCCCTGACCATTAGCAAGAGTCAATAGATCCCATAACTGTTCATTGATTTACTTTTCCCCTCCCCACGCCTCTGCACTTGGTCCCTTTTGCATTCTGCATTTTTCTGTCTGTGCACCACGGAGGGTGCTGGCAGGAATGCTAATTGGAACAGTGAATGGCTGGAGCAGAACAGGAAAATGCAAATCTGTAATCATTCATTTCATCGTGAGCTCCCTGCAGAAAGGACTATCTATCATGATGGCTTGCAGATTGTACCAGCCATTGCCATCAATAAATAATAATTGTAATGATTTTATGGAAACTTTCAGACTGAAGTTCCTTCAGGAAAGAGAATCACATCAGAGGAGAACATCACCAACAATAAATATCCACTCTGGCACAGAAGACAACTTATTTGCTGGATAACTGTGGATAAAAACCCTTTTGAAAAAAAAATCATAAGCTGTTTATGGAGAATTTGTAGGTAGTAAAAGGGCAACATTCCATAAATAGCCAGGTCTCTAATTAATGTCCAATTAATCTGTGATCTTGCATTGCTCCTGTGAAACACAACCATTTAATCCTGGTTTCTTGGCCAAATTCCAAAGTCTTCTCTACAGCTACTTGTACTTGTTCCCAAGAATTTACACAAATGTCACGGCCATGGTCACATGCCTCTATGAAACACATAAATAATTTCAGCAGTGCTCTAAGAATTGCAGCTCTGTCCAGAGATCTTCAAAAGATGTGCTTTCAAAGTGCAGAATTTCCTAGAGCAGTGAGTAACCTACCCAGTGAAGCATTCCTGCTTTCAGGAACCTCTGCACTCCATGGTGATGGCTGCCTGTCCTTGGCTACACTGGATGAGCTCCCGCGCTTACTGGGGGAAAAAAAAGAAAAGAAGAAAAAAGGAAAAAAATAAGAGATACCTGTAACAATTGCCAGAATTTCTTCTAATTAACTTACTGCTTTAACTCAGAATGTGTCAATGGCTGGATTTCATGGCAGGTGTGTTGAAATCTGGGTTATGCAAAAGCCTGGTTCCTTCTGGAGGCCTGGCACATATTTTGGGGAAGCAAAAGTACAGAACTCCATGGCTATAAAGTGCATGGCCTTACCAAGAAATCCTTCCAGACAACAGGACCTTACTCATCCTTCCCATACATTCCACTAAAGGAGAAAAGGTTACTGAGCTTGATTTTTAGACTTGGTTCCCTTTTATTAAGAGAAATTTCAAGCAATCTTACCATGCACTTCTTGATAAATGACTCTAAGGAACAGAATAAAGGAGAGAACCTTGCTCATTTTCTCTCCTGACCTCTGGTTATACATAGTTTTAGGACAAGTTATAAAACAGCTTAACAAGAGCTTCAGTGAGTTGCAGAATGGGAGAGGAGAAAGAAAAACAACCTGGATTAGCTGAATATTACAAAACAGTATAGCCAGGTAGTGAAGGGCCACAGCTCAAACACTTTGTGACAAACTCACCAATGGGGAACCTGCACCCCTGAGGCAGAGCTGCACCTATTCATCTGGAGCCTTCCCCTTCCCAAGGAACCTTTTCCTGAGGTTTTAGATTCTGCTGCATCCTGCTAGTTTTGCTGTGGCTGCTTAATAGTTGGTGATTTTCCTTGTAGAACACACCAAGGCTGACACTGACCATGCAAGGGGTGGTATGACCACATATCTATAATGATAATTCCCACAGACAGCCTCAAGCATCAAGAGTGGTCAAGATGCTTGATATAAAATTTGGACAAATCCTTTGGTTTTCATTTGGCAGGAAAACCCACTTATTTCCTAAACAGCTTTTCAGAAACCAAAAGCAGAAAGCAAGGAGGATTTGTAGCTATTCAAACCCATGAAAGACCTCCAGCTTTGGCACTAGAAGCTCCTATTTCTTAATTTCAATACCCTAAATGAACCATTGTTTAACATTCTAGGGAAAAGCAATGACACTAAGGAACAGAGCTGTGAATCCAGGCATCCAATCTCCAGGTGGCTTTGCCTTCCCTCCTCTCTTCTGCTGCATGGCCTTGAACTTGATTAGGATTCACCTTGTGCAACTTCAGTTGCCACATCCTTAGTCATCCTTCCCATTCATGGAGAGATTCTGACCACTGAATTCACCTGAGAAATGATTCCCTCTGCACTAAGGAGGATCCTTAAGGAGCCACCAACACCAAGACTGCCAGATGTGCTCTCTGGTGGGGCCTACTCCAGCTCTTCATACTCTCAAGTTGTGGCCAAGGGGGATTTTGAGACTCTGATTATGGAGCAGCTTCTCACCTGAAAGCAAACATGAGTAACCAGGGCAATTGTGAGATGCTCAGATTTTTAGCTCTCCATGAACCAGCCAGGCTCTGTGTGGCATGTTCCCCACGGGTCTGTCAGAACTGGGCAGCCAAGATGTAGAAACTACCCTGGCTGGCATGCCTCAAAGCAAATGCTAGTTGACTTCAGCTGGAACATGGAGAATTGAAATGGTCCCACTGAACATTTACATTTCAGCAAATGGACATTCCAACAAAACATGCCCAGCCAGCTGCATGCTGCAAATCTCTGTGCTTGCGTGGGCAAAAATTGTTTCTGCATTTTCATGTGTTTCCCAACATGTCTGATGGCTTACAGAGAGGACACCCATTCTGGCTGGCACTTGGAGTACCTGCTCAAAGAGCAGTTGCTCCAGAACTAACATCCAAACTTTCAGCCAAAACATCCTGAACTGGTCCCTCTCAGTGGCAGGTCAACATTCTGGGCTGCTCTGTGGGCAAGTCTTATCACTGACCTGACCCACAGTTGTGCAAAAACACGTTCCTTTGCTATGATGTGGGTGAGCTGAAGAGTTTTTCTCAGGGAGCAAAATTCCCTTCAGTAGAAAATTCAAGCCTGAATCAGTGGACAGTTAGGGACAGTTAGGGACAGTTCCTGAGAGCTGTCCCTAATTTGATTATTTCTGAAGTGTCCAGTGCAGCTGATATTCTCTTTTCTAAGCATCAGACATCTGTTAGAACAGGTAGTTGAGGTATATCTTTTGTGGACAAATTTGTACATACACACAGACATGCACGGATGCTCCCTCCCCCTCAAAACAGGCTTTGTTTTACAGCTCCTAACACCTGGAAATATTCAGATTCCCTTACAGTCTGAGGGATGAGATGTCATTAAGTCTTGGCAGCAGATCTTCTGGTGTGTATGGTGTGCCTTTACACCTGGCATCGGAATCACACAGCACTGTTTGCAGGAATGGGAAGAAGCCTGCACTGGGAAGGTTTCGGGGTGCAAGGTAACCTGGAGGGAGAAAGAGAGAGAAAATGCCATTATGATGATGAGGACATGCACATTTTGGCCACATGTTTCTGTCAGGATGTGCTATTTCCCCTTCTTAAACAACAGGACACATTCTTAGCTTCACAGAGGCTCCTTTCACTGACTCCACCCTGGCAGTATCATCTGCCAAATCCCACTACAAGCACCTCCTCAACACTGACAAAATCATCACATCACATAGAATGGTTTGGCTTGGAAGAAACCTTGAAGGCTGTCCACTTCCAATGGTCCTGCCATGGGCAGGGACACCTCCCACTAGACCCAGTTGCTCAGGGTCCCAGTTAATAGGAAGAAGAGCCAAACTATTTGTTCATAGGATAGTCATACTGTCAGTCCTGAAGCAACTGCACATTTCCCCCCTTCACTCCAAAATCCAACAACAGGAAAGAAATGACAAAAAAACCCTTAGACTAAGATATTCTAATTCTGCCTTAAAAAAAAGTAAAGTGAAAGCAGGCACATGGCCAGAGTAAGCACCCATGAGAACATGTTCTCCAAGACTTGTTGGATTGGTTTCTACACAATGCCACAATCTTTATTTCCAAGCCAGGCTGTTAAAACAGGGCTTTTTCTCAGCTTTTACCGCAGGAAGGGGCAATGGATCCAGGACCAACAAACACCTTTGCTTTTTGAGCAGAGCTACCCTGAGAAGGCAGAGGAGCAATCCATCATCACCACCCCCTGTGCATCCTCCCAGCTCAGAGCAGCTCCAGCACCATCTGCCTGGTGACCTGGGATGCTGGCAGCCAGTGCTGAGCGATGAGATCTGTGTCCCTGTCTCCCATTTCTCCAGACACAGAGTGGACCTGAGCAATGAGACACTCGAGTGTTTTATGTGCCACTTGCCCCGTGCTGCTCGCTGCCAGCCCGCAGAGTTCATAGCTGCTCTTCCTCTCAGAGACAAATGCTCTCATAAATCTCCAAACTCTTTTGCTGGATCATGGCAACATATTATTTAAAACAATCATTTGGAAAATTACCTGGCAAAGGACATTGCTATTATTTCTGCTATGGCAAGGAGCCAGATTTGCTGAAGGCCTGCGGGCAGGCTTGTGGTAATTGATTACCTTGTTCTCTAGTCTTCAAAGATGACCTGAGACTCTCACCCAGGCACAGGTTTATCTCTCACCCCTCCAACAAGGACACAGTACTACATTTGTACAGCATTTATTCATTATAGCAGTGGTCAAACCCCAGATGCTCCCAGAGGGCTTGGCAGGGGTAGGTGGATTCCATAGCTGTTTGTCTCCTTGATGGATACTGGATTTTCCTAAGTTTTCCTCAGCACAGCTGATCACTGCACTTTTGGGTCAGAACACATGAGTTCATGGTTTAGCACAGGAGTTCCCATTGCTTTGGGCAAAACAGCAACCAGTACAGAGGCCCCTGAGACCTGCAGAGGTATAGGCACCAACTTTGATGGTGGTGTGATACTCTTCTACACCTCAGTGGAGAATTAGGAGTATAAGAGAAAATTAAAGTACATGTATACCTGCCAGAGGAGAAGGCTCCCTGCTGTGGGAAGCTTCTCCCAGGACTCCCTGCATCCCTCAAGCCACCTCAGGAATTACACCCTCCCTCCTTCAGGAGTTACAGAGCTGGCTGAACCAGCTCTCAGCAACCTCAGAGCACCAAGGGTAGCAAAAGAGCTCCCTTATCCCTACAGGCAGAACTTCTGGTGTTGGGGCCACGGGACCAAGCAACAAGCATTCTAAAGGTGTTGTAGGGTAATTAATTTGCTGCCCATGAGGGAAACTTTAGAGCATGGTACTTTAATCTGGAAGCATCCTTGTGTGAATATCCCTGCCATGTCTGCCCTTTGGGATCACCAATTACAACCCTGCACAGTGTTCTGCACACACGGGCATCCTCTCATCTTCCTTCTCATCTCCCACACCCTCATTCCCACGTAGGGCATTGACTTGCACACCAATCCAAAAATGCACACCACAGACCTCACTGGATCGATGTCCCCACCAAAATGAAGCTTCAAAGATGTGAGAAGCCATGGGGCCTGGGATGGAGGGTGTAGCCACAATGTGTGGAGCTCCACCCTTCAATGCCCTCCACACCTACCAACAACCACACAGTCAGGAGCTAAGTCCATGTCTTTTAGTAGGCCAGGAGCAGCTAAAGCTGTGTAACTCCTCAGGGTAAAGCTGAAAGGGGAACACGAGGATGGGTCTGGGGAGCACTGGTCTTCTTCAGAGACATGCCAGATGTTTACAGAGGTGATTAAGCAAGAGATCCTGATGAATCAGATCAGAGGAAGACTCTTCCTTGAGGTACAACTATAGCAATAACAAATTCTAGAATTGGACTCAAAAGTGCCACACTTTGAACTAAGTGGGCAATTAAACAATCAGCTACTCTATCACAAGTGAAGTGCTCAGTGTCAGAACACAGTGATGGTATCAGTTCTTCTTCCTCTTTTGAAACAGCAGCCCCAAATATAAAGAGCCAGGAATTTGTGACCTGAAGTTTGGAAGTGCTGCCACTCATAGTGGTGGCATAATGCCTGTGAAGACATCCTTGGCCCATGAGGTTGAGGCACTTGCTGAGGCTCTGCCAGCTCTCAGTAGATGCTGAGCAGTTTGCTGGCAGCTGGATGCAGCCATGGGGCCTGATCCATCCCTGAGTCACTGCAGGCATGAACCAGTTTACCCCACCATGCTTTTGGCACAGGAGCAGTGGCAATGCCAGGGAGGACACTTCTGGAAGAGGCCTGGGCTCTGACAGCAGTTAGAGAATTAAGGAAGTTTTTTGAGAAAGACTGTGACACAGAAAAACTCAAAATGTTTGGGCCAGATACACATGTGGTGTAAGTTAGACCCACGCTGGCTCTCAGCCCTGCAAAGGAAGGAATTTACTGATGCCAAGGTGAGCCATGAGATTAATGCTTTCCCTGCCTCATGCTCCAGCCCTCCATCCCCCTGCTCTTGGTGAGGAGATGTGACCCCACAGAGCCACATGGGCTGTCCTGCCCACACAGATGAACTCCCTGCTGGCCCTGTAACCACTGCAGGGATGGCCAGGGAGGAAGCTGCTTCAGGAGATCTCCATACTGACCTGTCCCTGCCTTGGCTGAGGTTTATCCAGCACACCAGTGACATCAGTGCACAATGTAAGCACCAGCTACCAAATGTGACAGAAGGAGAGTTGTACCTGCTCTGCAGATACAAATTGTAAAGGACAGTCTTTCCACGGTGAGAGTTTCCCAATCTGAAGTGTAGCACTCTCACTAGAGACTTCTGCAGTATTTCTACTGTTGGGAATCCCTTTGTTTTCCACAGGCAGCACCTTCTCACACTCAAACCTACGGCAATGCCATAACCAAGCCCCAGCTTTATGATCCCACATCACACACTAGAGCAGATCCACAACACATGACAAAATTCTTTTTTCAACCTCTCCATTGGCTTTAGCTTTAAACCTCCTAATTTGCCAAAACTACAATTTCCCTTGAAGGGTCCCACTACCAGTGCCCATGGGTCAAGGGGGAGAGATCACTGCACCCACTGCTGCCACATGTCTGAGCTGAGAGATCACCCTCTCACATTTCTGGCCAAACTGACACCTCTGCAACCAAAATCCAAGCCTAGATCTGTATCCTGTTAGCAAGGACTGACTTTGGGTCTGCCAGCAGCAGAATCTCAAGTGCTGAGGCTTTTACTGTGTCTTCCGACAGAGAGTTTTGGTTTTCTATCCCCACTGAGAGAAAGGCTCAGAAACTGAAGGAAAAAGGCACCCCAAAGGGCAGAGGAGGCCAAGGGCTCAGTGCTGCATGGGCTGGCTCTCCCTGTTCAGCAGCATCTAACCAGGCCAGCCACATCTCCAAGAGCTGGAAAGAAACAAGGCATGCAGAGCAGTAATAACAAACATAAGATACCAATTAATGCACACATGCCACTGAAAATTCTGGCTTTTCCCCATTTGTTCTCATTTAGAATAAAAAGAAGAAAATTAATTTCTCCTATTTTTCTGAATGTTGTAAATTCCAGCACACTTCCCTTCAACACAAGCAAAACATTTTGTTTTCTTCAAGTAAAGATGCTTAGTATAATACCAATGAGAAATGTCAGGGTGATTCTAAATGTCATACAAGAGAGATGAAAATTACTATTTCACTATGGTCTATAAGATTAATTGAAATTGACCCAAATGTTTAAACCTAAATGGACCATGTTTCACATTGCCACATTGATTTTGCTGCTTCCACTGCACTGAAGTTTGTGGCATTTACATTATAGCTGAGTCCAGCCATCTGCTGATCCAGCCAGGAATTCAGCAGATCAGAGGCACAGCATCATGACCACAGCAGCCCCCAGCTGAGTTTTTCTGGTTTCTACCACCTCTAGTTTAGAGTCATATCACCAGTACTTGGGCATGAAAAAATTTGCTTGCCTTCAACATTCACACACTCTGACACTACCTAAGTCCTAAGCTCTAAGTCCTTCCAAATTCCTCCCATAATTCATAAAAAAATCCATCCAAACCTCAACTCTGCCACTGGTGAATTGGAGGCACTAATGAGCCAATGGCTTCATTAGGAAGTATTGTGTTTAATTGGAAATGCATTCAATCATTGCCAAATCATAAAAGGCAACATCATAACTGTGACTTTTCAGCTAGGGAAAAGGTGGCCAAAAAGTGTTTTGATAAAGAAATAAATAAAGTAAGGAATCAGTGAGTAAAAGGGTGAAAAAATGATCACTCCTCACAACACAGGGACAGCAAAGCACAGTGAGATCAGGACATAGCCAGCAAAAAGGACCAAAACCACATTTTTGTAACAAATACCAAAATGTTGTAGAACTTAGTGCAACAGGACAAAGCAGACATTGATTTCAAAAGAATTAGACAATTCACAAAAATAGATTTGTCAGCAGCTACTTAAATGATCACATGGCTCAAACCCCTTCAGCTTCTGGCTGAAGAAATCTTAAACCTTTCAAGATTTT